TCGGGAATATCTACACACTCACAGCATGTGGATTCTTTGTATGGACTCTCGTGCTCACTGTACTCTCTGTAAACTGCCACTGTGGTTCCTGACACCTCAGCCACTTCACACCTCCTCCACTCACCCTGCTCACTACTCCCCACCCCCAACCACATCACCCAGTACACATCCAGATGGATCCAGCCTTTCTCTCTCAACCATACGGGTTAGGAAGGAACTGAAGAGGATTAAAGCCAAGAAGGCAGCGGGCCCAAATGGCATCAGCTCAAGGGTTGTCAGGTCCTGTGCAGATCAGCTGGGTGGGGCGATGGAGCACATCTCGTGTTGTACCAGTGCCAAAGACTCCACATCCCAAGGACATCAACAGCTACAGGCTGATGGCTCTGACATCCCATCTGATGAAGACCTTGGAGTGGCTTGTCCTGGCACAGCTTCGCCCCCTGGTGAGCTCATCACTGGACCCACTTCAGTTTGCCTACCAGCCTGGCATCGGAGCGCATGGTGCCGTCATTCACCTCCTATATCGTTCCCTCTCTTACCTAGAGACCGCTGGCAGCACTGTGAGAATCATGTTCTTTGATTTCTCCAGTCTCCTTTAACACCATTCTTCCCACAGTTCTGAAGGATAAACTGTAGAACTCAGGAGTGGAACACCACCTCACTACCTCCCACTGGAGACATGTTCTCTGGAGTGACGAATCGCGCTTCTCTGTCTTGCAATCTGGTGCATGAGTTTGGGTTTCCAGGAGAACGATACTTGTCTGACTGCAGTATGATGTGGGGGTGTTTTTCAGGAGTTCAGCTCAGCTCATTTGTTCGACTAAAATGAATTATTAATGCTTCAGCATACAGAGATATTCTGCTCCCAAGTTTGTGCAAACGGTTTGGAGATGGCTGGTTTATGGAGTAACGAGAAAGTAATATAACATGTTTCTTTTAAGAAAAATGAGTAAAGTGTTATACAGGGTGGGCCATTTATATAGATACACCGTAATAACATGGGAATGGTTGGTGATATTAAAGTCCTGTTTGTGGCACATTAGTATATGTGAGGGGGCAAATCCTCAAGATGGGTGGTGACCATGGTGGCCATTTAGAAGTCGGCCATCTTGGATACAACTTTTGTTTTTTCAATAGGAAGAGGGCCATGTGACACATCAGACTTATTGGTAATGTCACAAGAAAAACAATGGTTTCAGGTCTGAAGCACAAACGGAAGCCTAGTTATTTATATACTTGCTCTCTACGTCACACCACACTTTAAGTTTCAATCAAACAGCCTAGTTGGTTTCACTTTCTTCTGCAATTACCATGCTTCTGCAAAAGCATGCAGTTTCCTGTCAGCCTACAACCTAGTTTTACACTGAAGTCTGGGCCTCTCATAAAACACACTAATCAGCATTCAGATTATATATTTTATTTCCTAACACTAGGCTCCAGGGATTCAGGGGGAAAAAGCTCACCTTCAACAGATGGTAAAACCTGTGGTTGGTATCCAAGGGAGGACAAACTGACATGAGAGAACTTTTGACAGGGCAATGAGATGAACAGCTTTGGGAAATTGATCTTTTATGTTAAGTATTACCATATTGCCAGAAGAGGGTGGAAAACCAGTGACAAAATCAAGTGCAATCTGGGACCAAGGGTGACAAAGAGTTGGGGAAGGTCTGAACAAACTTGCATAAGGAGAGCTGGAAGACTCTTCTTGTGCACAGACAGAGACTGCAGAGACGTATTCGTGGACATTGTTAATCAAGGCAGGTCACTGGAACAAACGTTGAATGAAGGTTATAACACAGTTGATTACAGGCTGGCAGGTGAATTTGGTGGTGTGTGCCCAGACAGCAGAAGGGATATAGAGGCAACCCTGTAGATTTTTCATGGGGTCTGGTTCGGTCTGTTAAGCTTGTGGATGGCAGATTCAATCACCCATGTGAGGACGCCAATGATAAATGAGGAAAAGAGGAAGACTGATTCTGCTGGCAGAGGTGGAGAATTTCCTGGAGTGTGTCTGGTTTGATATTCCTAAACAGTATGAAAAATAGGGCCCATCTGACTTGTTAGGCATTGAACCGGTTAGCTGACTGGAGCTAGGCCAGGTTTTTGTGACCTGTCTGATGAAGGGACCACCCCCTCCAGCCAGTGCCTCCACCCTTCAAGAGCGATCTTGATGGCAGCAACTCTTGGTCTCCTACATCATAGTTGCGCTCTGCAGGGGTAAGATGACGATAAAAGACAAGAATGCATTTTACTTTCTTGCTGCCAAGAGAGTACAACTCCCATGCTGGAGTTAGAGGCATCCACTTCCATGATGAACTGGCAGGAAAGATCAGGTTGAGATAGAATGGGAGCTGCGGCAAAATGTTGTTTTAGATGGTCAAAGGCAGTCGGGCAGAGGGGTTCAACTGGTAGGAGATTTTAGTGGAGGTGAGTTGGGTTAAAAGCAGGGCGTTCTTACTGAAATCCCTGATGAAGCTACAGTAGAAGTTTGGGAAACCTAGGAAATGTTGGAGTTGCTTTTGATTCTGAGAGACTGGCCAATAAGTTTCTGCTGGGTCTGGTTTGAGTTGTCCTTCCAAAATATAACTAAGGAATAAAACGGTGACAACCTGGAGTTCACATGTCTCGCCTTTGACAAAAAGTTTAAGTCACTTCAACAGCTGCCTGGTTGTAGATGGTGAATAAACACTGGCTGCAAAACATTCCTAAGTGACCTCGCCCAATCAATGAAAAAACCAAAATCAAATATAAACGTGCTTTTCCAGACTATCCAAGTTTATCATCATGTTTGGCAAATGTACTGCTGAAAAGAAAAAATAAGGAAACACTTAAATCAGCAATATATATAAGCTTTCAATTAATAAGAATTTTGGTTCAAAACATTAAATATTATCATTTATTCCTCATCACAGAGGAACCTTTTCGAAACTCTATGATGCTATTCTGTCTTTTAGTAACCACTCTAATGTTAAGCTTAAGTGTACACGGGAAGGAGAACTAGGAATTCAAATACATGAGGAGTCTTGGAAACAGGCTATAGCGAGAGTACGATCTTCCACCTCCTGTGCTTGTCTTGGACTTATTCAATTTAAGGTTATACACAGGGTGCATTTCTCTAATTCTAGACTTTCTGAATTGTATCCAGAAGTGGAAAATAAATGTGATAAATGCCATGGTTCTCCTTGCCACCTTAGCCAGATGTTTTTTCTGTGTCCTGAGCTACAAGGTTTCTGGACAGGGTATTTTGCTATTATGTCAACTGTTCTTGGGGTAACTCTTCATCCTTGTCCTCTGATTGCTGTATTTGGGATTCCTGTTCGCTCACTTACACTTGATTCCACACAAAAGGATATTATTGCCTTCACATCCCTATTAGCGAGACGTCTAATATTGTTGCGTTGGAAGTCTGTTAAGTATCCTACTATTTCCCGGTGGCTTAAAGATGTCATGTGTCTGTGAAGGTTCTCAGTCTTTGCAAGCTCCTTTGACTTAAAGATGTCATGTTTTTTTTAAAACTTGAAAAAATTAAATATACGTTGAGAGGTTGCACAGCCAAATTTTTTCACAAGTGGCAACCCTTTATCTCTTATTTTGCTAGTATAGAGGTATTGCCTGTTTAAATGATAATGTTAACATAAATAAAAGGCAAAATGTGAACTTAGACTAGACTGATTGACTAAACTGGGAAAACTAAAACACAAAACACAGGGAAACGAGAGAACTAGACCCTGACACAGGAGACAAAAAGACAATACAGACAACATGACAAAGGACTCGACACTGTTGTAAAACATTAAGCACAGAGATACACGGGCTTGACATAACATCAGGGACATAGAAAACGTAGATGGAGCACGGACATAACTAAGAAACTAATACACACAACATGACAGCTAGGGAGAAAACACATAACAGATGACACAAGGGGAACCAAGAGGAGACAGGACACAGGACAAAGACACCACTGAGACACACAAAGGGGAAGGGAGACTTAGACACAGGGGACCTGAGTTGCACACTGAAGACACGACACCAAAACCAACAGACATGGAAGGAAATTAGACAAGAACTAAATAGAGGAACTGAACTCAGTATCAACAGAACTAACTGAAGACTAAACAAATTAGAACATAATAATACAAAAAACATGAAATTCAATATGCTGGGTGAAAAAGACCCAGAACCATGTACTGTTGAAAAAATGATCAGTAGACCTGTCCATATTTGTGATTGGTCAGATGCTGCCATGTGAATCTACAGCTACAATACCTGTAAAGCATTTATTTGTGCATTTGACTTTATAGTCCTGTCATTTATTTATGTTGCTCTTCCTCCCTCTCGAGTGTATCTGAAAGACAAGCTGAGCCAATGTATTCAGTCATTAAATGATCTCTCTCTCTCTCTCTCTCTCTCTCTGTCTTTAATCATTATCTGCCTCCTTCATTCTCCCTTTACATTACATATTTTTATATCTTCCCTATCCTTTTTCTTTCTCATGCCCATTCTTCTACGTTCACTTCCTTCTTCACTCTCCTTTTTATAATCTGTTCCTGTAACTTGTCTTAATTTCCCATTTCCTCTTTACTTCTTTCTCCACTCTTTTCTTTATTTTCCTCATACCTTTCTTCATCTCTATTCTTATGTTTATTTCTATAATTTCTCCATTTCCTTCCATTTTGCTTTTAATTTTTCTTAAATGTAATTTTCCTTTTCATTTTCTCATTGTTTTAATCTCCGTTCTTTCTTCTTTCCTATCACTCCTCTTCTTTGTACTAACATATTCTTCATTATTCATCATCCTTTCATAAATATTGTTGTTTTTTCCATCTGATTGCATTGCTTTGTTTATTCCTACCTACCCTTCCTCATTTCCCTCTTGCATACCTTTCTTTTTCCGGCGACTATATTTTGCATTTTAACGCCTTCCCTCTTGCTCTTTCTGCACATATCCACAACTTCACTTGTGACTTTCATTGACCCTGCTTCCATCCTCCTCCCAGTCTGCAGTAGTGCTCCCATAAACATGAAGGTGCAGCATGTCAATGGCAGTGCTTTGGTGGTGCGTTGGGCTCATCCGGAGGTCACCTACCACTCACCCATCCAGCATTTCCTGGTATCTTACAGCTGGACGGCCCATGATGACAGCTATGAAGAGACCCACCTAACGGATGCCAAACACAAACTGGTGAGTCTTTGAGGGACTGCAGGGTTGGAGCCACATTATAGGTGGATGCTAAGTTTTAACTAGAAAAATTTGCATTTCCTGCAAAAATGCTGTGTAAAGTGTAAAGTGTGCGTGTTAGTCCCCATAGGGAAATAGTTCCTCTGCATTTAACCCCTTCACCCAGTGAAGCAATGGGCAGCCACCAGTGCAGCGCCCGGGGAGCAGTGTGTAGGGACGGTACCTAGCTCAGGGGTACCTCAGGGTAGCCGTTCAGTGGAGTCGAACCCCCGACCTTCTGATCATGGGGCCACCACTCTACCTACGGAGCTATCCCTGCCCCATGGATGCTGTAACGCTGAAGCTGTTTGCTGAAAATAGCTGAAAAAGATGAAAAGTTTCAGGGGTGAAAAAACTGAAAATTCTTTTGAAAAGGGGTGAAGAAGCTGAAATTTGTGTTGAAAAGAGTTTAAAAAGTGTAACTGTGAACTGAAATATTGTTGCCATTAGCAGGATTTGAACCCAGGCCTCCCGCTCCGAGAACGGATGCTCATCTCACTGAGCTAAAACACAGCTTGACCCGGCAACTAAAATCAATGACCACACTGACAATGTGTTCCATTCATCTCAATGGGCAAAAAAATTGCATATAAAATTCAATATCTCAAAAAGTATAGAAGTTATGAGCACCAAAAGTCATAGCACACATTAGCAAAAAGAGCAGAATTTTTTAAAGTTTGAACATAGTAATTTAGTAAAACATAGTATTTCTTCCAAATCACAGTATTTCTGGTAAATCACAGTGTTTGTGCCAAATCACAGTATTTGTACCAAATCATAGCATTTGTGATAAATCATAGTATTTGTGCTAAAACATAGTATTTATACTAAATAATATTTTTCCTGCCAAATCGTAGCATTTGAGACATTATTTGTGATTTATGATTTACATGGAATACTTTGACTTAGCAGAAATACTATAATCTAGCAAAAATACTACAACATAGCAGAAATTCAGTCATTGAGCAGAATTACTAAGATTTAGCAGAAATACCATGATTTGGCAGAAATACTAAACTTTGGCACAAATACTTTAATTGAGTAAAAGTATTATAAGATAGTATTTCTGCTAAATCATTTTATTCCTGCTATGTATTAGCAGAAATACTGTAATTTTTCTCAAATACTATGAAATAGCAGTAATACTATGATTTGGCAGAAATACTACATTTTAGCACAAATACTATAACAAAGCAGAAATACTATGACTTAGTAGTAATAGTATAACATAGCAGATATACTATGATTTTGCAGACGTACAATGTTTTTGCACAAATACTACAATTTGGGAAAAATACTGTGTTTTAGGACAAATACTATGATTTTGCAGACATTCTATGTTTCTGCACAAATACCACAATATGGCACAAATACTA